ATAGTTAATTCCTTTATCAAGCCAACATGCTCATAACACATAATCATACACAATTTATTCTTAAATTTGTATATTATGCCCCTTTCCCTTATAGACATTTGTCTTCTCATTCATAGGCATTATTAGTCATTAATAATCCATAAAAACTCATTAAATTACCTTAGGTAATCTCATGAAATTAACTCACTAATTATAAGTAATATAGTCAGCCATCCTCACCTTATGATGTGCTCAACTAGCTGCCTTAGCGAAACCCCTTGATCCGTCCTCGTTCTAGGCCGTTCAAGAGTGAAAAATCTGGACAACAGGTGAAATCCAGGCAGCTTTCGTGAAAGCCGGGCGGAGTTCGTGGCCTGCAGTTACGGGCAGCCTGTTTTTCTTGGCGGTTTCCGGCGATTTCGACTCCTATCGATTCACCAACTCTTCTAAGTTAAATACCACCACTTTATATCAATATTCTACACTTTTAAACTTGTACAACATCATGTTTAATCTACCATATGATTTCTTAAAAATCATACACTATAAAACTAGTTAAAGAAGATAGGTGAGTTCTTACCTTCCTTCTAGCTAGTTTTCTCCTGGGATTTCCTTTCTCCTTGCTCCCTTCAAGTTTGGACCTTGTTGAAGACTTTTCCCTTGAGCTCAATCTCCCTTAGCTTGTTCCAATGGTGTGTAATGAGATAGGAAGGATTCCTTCTCAATCACACACAAATAATGTGAAGGTGGGGTATGGAGGGTGTGAGTTTTGTCTCAAGGAGACTTCTTCCTTCATGCACGCCCCTCCCCCTTTATTTTGTCCCCCTCCTCACTTATTTGAGGCTAAATGGGTTGTAGAATACCCCAAGTGGGTATAGGAAGTCCCTCCCAATTATTCATGCTATTTTTGGCAGGTTGGGTCAAAATAACACTTGGGTTGCCCAAACGTTTTCCTCAACTTTAGTTGGCATTTTATTGGGCTTCTATAATTATCACGATGACCCAACTAAATATTTGGTAGCCCATTCTCATTATTACGGATTCGATATATAATTTAATTAATCACGCATTAATTAAATATATTATTCCTTTACACGAAACCATTCGCTAGAAAATTCAAATGCATACTGAATACAAATTCAAGTACATGCGGGTGCGGTGTCACAAATTACCTAGGGGTGGGTATAACGGTTTGGTTTAACCGAACCGAACCATACCAAACCGAACTAAACCGAAACCAGACCGTATGCAATTTGGTTTGAGTTTGGTACTATTTCTTCCAAACCGTATTAAACCGAACTGAACCGAACCGAAACCGATAAAAATCGAATAAAACCGAACTGAACTAAAGAAACTCAAAAAAACTTTCATATATTATTAAAATTGGTGGTTTGATTTGGTTTGGTTTGGTTTGGTTTGGTTTGAGTTTACTTAAGTAAACCGTTTGGTTAACATTTGCTCAAACCGAATGATTTGGTACTTTGGTTTGATTTAAAACGGAAAAAAACCGTAAACCGAACCGAACACCGAACGACACACACACATATACACTTTGTATTAATTTTATTTAAATAATTTTATCTTCACACATATACCTCGTAATTATTTTAAGTGTTTTATGTGCATGTTTGAGAATTATATTTGTGTATTAAATTTAAGTAAATATTATTCTATGGAATTTATTGTACTGGATATATTGATGTGAGCTATTGTGTATGATTTTTAAGATATTATCTACTAGTGAATATTGTGATTAATTTGGAGTACAAGTTTGAGAAAATGTGGATTTTAGCGTATTTTGAATAATACGAACTTTCAATTGGATTTTGATAACACAAAGAAAATTAATATTTTCATAAGGGGTGAGCACCTGGGAGAAATCTGTGGTGTAAGTTTTCCACACCCGAATAAATGTGGAGGGTGGTTAGGGCTACTACTACTCAATTTGGTTGGATTTGAGTTGAGTTGATTTGAGTTGATTTTGATTAAAGGAGGGTCGGTAACCACCCCAACATTTGGACATTAGATTCCACTTGTGCAGTAGTAGTAGTTCGTGATCATTCAAGATTATATCTTGTGGGTGGGGTAGTTGGTAGAAAACATCCCGGCTACCCGGGGAGACTTACTAACCCGGAGGGCTTGGAATCCCTTTAGTGGGTGTGCGCTTAAGGTAGTTGTCCGATTCCGACTTTTGTGGTTGAAACGGCTTACTGGGCTTGGTAACCCCGAGTACCGCCCATCTTAAAAAGAACTAGGGCTTTAGTCAAAACTATTTTTGGAAGGAAATCTTTAATTGAAATGTTGAATTTATTTACTTAAATGTTTTTTATTTTATTTTCGGCTTCCATTGGAGTTTAGGTGATTTGGATTATTTGGTTGAATTGATTGGATTTGAGGTTTGAAGTTTGAGATGAAGTGAATTACATTATATTGGATTGGATTATTTGATTGGATTACATTTGTTTGGATTGGATGGAATTGAGGTGGATTGAGTTATTAAATTATTTGCAGATTTTTAGAGTATAAGTACTTTTGGATTTGATTTGGTTGATTATGTTGAATACTCTCTATAAGCATTTATAAGTATTTGGAGATAAATATTTGGGTTTGATTATGTTGTGAAATAATTGTGATCATATTTAGTGGTTTGTGTATATTGGTACCTTGGAATTATTATGATTTAAAAATATGTACTTATATTTGAAGTATTATTATTTTGCATATGAATTGTGTTATGAGAATGGTTTATAAATGTTGTTTACTTATGATTTACATAAAGTGTTTTGTAGAGATTTTTCCTCCAAATGTTTTTCAAAAATATTAAATTATATTATTTTACGGGTTTGGGTGGAACGTAACTTACTAGCATTTTTGGCTAATTTTGTTTCTTTGTGCTTTCTTTCTGTACTTGGTTTGAACAAAAAAACATTTTTTGGTTTGTACAAGTGATGCTTTGATGATGATGTTGATTTTGAGAGAGCTTCCGTTAGAAAACCTAGATAGTAAATTGTTGTAATTGCATTTTCAACATTTTAATTAGTGAGCATTTATTTTAGAATTTTAATTTATTTTGAGTTATATTGTTTTAGACTGTGCACTCGGTTAGGGGAGAACCGAGTGTGGCGGTAACGCCCTATTTCCCTCTTGATTTCCGTTGCAAACCTCTGATGTTCTTAAATAAAATTAATAAATAAAGTATTATTTAAATGTCCTTTTGGCCGGGAAATTTGGGGGTGTTACAGTGTTGGGTTAATGACCCGACCGTGGGCCGGCCCATCACCCCTTAGCAGATAAAGCACCAGGGCCTAATCGGCGTGGTCTATGAGTATTCCCAGACGAGATCATCGGACCCTCCAAGACGAACGGCTCCAACGGCTGGTGCAATAAGGGCCAACTGACATTCCTGGATCCTTGGCGGGATAACTTGCATATGCCGTACGGAAGGGGCACCTTGAACTCATCATAACTAAGGTCACCAGACCCGGAGAACGCTCATCCGCATCCTTGGCGGGAAACCAAGATATTGACATGAGGCGCATTTAATGTCGTAGATTTGGTGGTTGGGAAGCTAGCCATCCATAGTCTTCCATGCCAACAATACTACTTACTCCTTGGTAGTATAAATAGTGTCATTTAATTCACTATAAAGGGTTGACAACTTATTCTCCCTAGCAAATACTCCCTCCGTCCCCCTAAGTTTGGGACGGAGGGGTGTGGTGTGGTTTTTAAGAAAAAGTGGAATTGTGTGGTTGGTATTGAATTGATAAAGTGTAAATAAAGTAAGAATGAATTCTAACCACTCAAATGTTACCAAATATGGTATGGGACAAACTTAGTGGGACGGACGAAAAAGGTAAAACGGGACAAACTTAAGGGGACGGAGGGAGTACCAATTATCTTAACTCTTAGCATTGAGATAGACGGTCAGCCTCTTGGCTAATAGTTGAAGTGTGTTGTATACGGACCCTTATTATCATTTAATAAGATATAGCCACTTACTACCCTCTTATTGACTCATCTTACTTGCTTGCATCATACACTCATCAAACTTTCCATACGAAATCCAAGAGAAACGTGTTGGACCTTTTGGTTAAAGGAATATACCTCACACTTCTAATCACTTAGTCTATTTCTTTTTTCTCTTTTTAAATACGGTAGGCAAACTATCAAAATTAGTGAGACAAATGTCAGAGAACATTTGGCATATTTTACTAAGATAATAAAAGATGTACACAAAAAGAGGAAGACTGGGTCAAAACCTCTTCAAAAGGACATACCTTTCAAATAAAAATAAAAAGTAACAACAGAAACTAACTTGGGCCACAACCTGACCCAATTTAGCTAAAACTAGATGGAAAGCCCAAAAGATAATGAAAACGGAGAGCTCAGTTCAAGACGGAGCAAAGTGTAATTTGTATGTTTTTACTTGGACGGTTTTCAGTCTCAGACAAGATCAGACTAGACCACACTTAAACTGATCATACCAAACCAAGTCAGACTTAAACAACACAGATCACATCAGGCTTAAATAGACCAGACCAAACTTGACTTCCGTGTAGTTTTAAAATACACATAGATCAGACGTTTAACAGACCAGATCAGACCACATCAGATCAGACTTAAACAGATCTAATCAGCCAGACTTAAAAGACATCACCAGCAATTTAGCCACTAAAAACATTCTTACGCTCTGGAAAGTGCACTGGTAGATGTAAATACCGAATAGTTGTCCGATTGAAGACCTTCCCGAGCAAGAAGATGAGCAATCGTGTTCTTTTCCACTGGTCACTGGACGATGGAGCACATGTCCAGTTCACTTGGGTCTCTCTCATCTCTACTCCGTATGAGTTTCTCTAATTGAGAACCCTGGAATCCACGGCCCCTCAAAACATTTTGGTAGCACACACACGAGTTTCAAATTAAAATGGCAAATAGGTAAAATTAATCATATTATTTAACAAACAAATTTAATATGAGGCTGTATTTAGCAAAAGATAGATGCTGCATTTACAATTAGCCAAAATTTAATACCCAAAAAGAAAGCCCATCAACCCAAAGCTATGGATGGCTCTACCGGTGATTAATACTGCGTATGAGTAAACCCTACCCTCATCCACTTTGCGTCGTGTCTGCATGGCGACCCCCCCATGCTCATCCTCAATCGAGCCCGAGTTGAAGAAACCAAAACTCGATCATGGTGGTGATCAATGTGAGGTGGAAAGTTTTGAGGAAGAACCTGAAGAATGGGTAAGCATTTGTTTATGCAACCTGCGACCAAATAACCTAATTTATGAGTTTTCATTAGTATTGTTTCAACAATTGCAATCATATTACATCGAATAATTTCGAAATGTGATGCAATCAATTTGGTTAATGTTGGACTCGTTTGTTGTGTTTCCTTTTCTTTAATTTGTTTTTTGAAATCAAAGAGCAAGGCTTTGAAATTCAGAACAAAAGCTTTTCAGTCATTTGGGTCATTTTTTAAAAATACTACGTAATACACTCAGAGCCTATTTTCTTATGAAATAATTATGAATAAAACACCTCCTCCATATTTTAAAATCCGCTATACTTTTCCTTAGAACGGATAAAAACTCTGCTACTCTATCCTTTTTTGTTACTTTTCTTTTAAAAATACGGATGCATGTGTATTTGATTATTAAAATAAAGAAAAAATTATACAGAGTACTCCATATGAAACTTGAGCTTATTCATCTAGAAAAGTAATTAATTATTGGTTGACAACTGAAGCTGGATAGTTGAAAAACTAGGATACCAAACGGGCTTTTAGTATACCCATGACTACTTTTGATATCGTTATACAACTTATATCTATGAGTTTTAGTTCATAAAATAAAAAGTCTAATACTTTATGCTGTACTGAACTAACCGCTAGCATTATGATATCCCATATTTTTTTTGTGTGTTTCAGGAATTTGAAAAGGAAATTTTACCTCAAGATTTCCAGGATGAACTCTATGTTGAACTCTGCAACTCGGCTCTTGCTTATTACCTGGATAAGCATGTATGAGGGTTTGTGTGTCAATGCACTTTCCTGGGAACTGTTTTTGCCTCTAAAATGTTCCTCTATGTTTGTGTTTTTACTCATTGGTGCCACTTTAGCCAGGAGAATCTTATGGGTTCAAGAACATGAAAGGGGGGTATTGGTGGTTTGTTTGGCAAACTGCGACTTATGTGTTGGAATTTTGTGCTGAAAATATGAACATGGATGATACACGTCTACAAAGCTTTAGTGCCAAGGTTCTTTGTCATCATCGGAAGGAGCCTGAACTTTTAGAAATAAAGAAATGTGTGCTACTCGAAGATGGGGTTGAACAGTTTGAGAAATGGGTATATTTGCCTATCCATCCTTATTTGCCTTTCTAATATTTTTAAGTACAGTAAAATATTTCCCTTGTTCTGTGATTCTAATCTCACAGATGTATATCAGTTGAAGAATTTTTATTTTATTAATCTCACAGCTGTATATTTCATTTTTCCTTGATATTTTAGGATAGGTTTGGTGATGCTATGCCAGAAATTCCGCTTGAAGATCTTAAGAAAAGAGGAAAGGAATATGAAAATGCAGTTGAACTTTGCAGATTGGCTCTTCAAGATTACCAATCTAACCATGTATGTATCTCAATTTTAGGTTTAATGTGCCTACCCTTGACAAGTCCAGACCCGTACTTGCACAAACAATTATACCCGTAGAGTCTTTCTGACCATGTTTCCTAGACCTGGATTTTTTCCATTTGGTTCATAACCAGGTCTAAAAGGCTCTAGCCTTTTTATTCGACATGGTTATACAGATTTATATTAGACAGGGGTGTTTCTGTTTGTTTTAAGTTGTAGGGGTAGAAAATTTAAAATGGGCTTAGTTAAAAAATGATATTTTTTTATCTTAACTAATATGCATAACTATTTCGAGACCTTTATAATAAAGAAAAGACTTTAATTTGCTAAAAATAAGTACGGGTAATCGACAATATTTTCAATTCTAAAGTAAAAGACTAAAAACAAAACTTATAGTTTCAAACTGCAACTAGTTTGTGAGTCAAATACTCAAATGTGATGGGAGCACAGCTGTCATGGCACATGGCGACCATAATAGTGCCGGAACAGTTTCCCGCGACAATGGTGCATTTATGGCTGTCACCATGCTACAGAAAAAATAAGAAGGATAAATATGACCTATGGGCATATAGTTCTAAGACTTATGATGTTTTTATTTGGACTGGTTTCAGTCCTATACAAGACTAGACCAGATTTAAATAGATTAGACCATACTTGAAAAGACCAGACTAGACTTTGATGGCTGTATAATACACATTGACTAGACATTTCCGAAACCAATTCTGACTAGACTTGATCAGAATATTTTAATCCAACTAAAACATCGTCAACCACCAATAATTGAGTTAACGAACCAAATCCAAATAAAAACACGTAAATTTCTTAATCCGGAGTTCCTAGACTCCTGGTATTCTGCATTTCGGCTATTCTACTAATCTGCTATTTAACTCTAATAGTTAATGATCGTAATGGGTTGTTATTAATTTCTAATTCTAAGTGTTGATTTCTTGTTTAAAAGGAGTGTTACTTGTATTGTTTATTTATGAGAGTGAGCCAAATTAGGGAGTGTTTGCGTTTGTTTGTGCTTTTTAAAAGTGATTTTTTAAAGAGATTATTTGAAAAGTGATTTATAGTAAGAGTGGGTAGTGCTTGAGAGTAGAAGTGATTTTAATTAAAAGGTAAAAGTTGAACTGTTTGGTAAAAAAGTGATAATTGATGTAGTATATAGTTAAAATACAAAATTATCCTTCACCATCTCCTTGCTTGTCTTCTACCCTTTAGCATCACGTAAATAGCTCCTCTTCAGACCTTCTTTGTGGTCTGCCACGATCTTCCCCTTCCTCAAATCCATCAGTTTCTCTGAATTCGTTCGTCACTAAGATTCTGGTTTATTCAATCGGGGTTTTATTATTTGATGGGTTTGATTGGTTGAGTGATTCAAGTTTCATTTTGATGATTTTTGCCTGCCAAGACTTCGTTTTCTCATTGAGAGCCTGAAGATCGAGAAGGAGATTACAAATATCATTCATGGCCTGATGGCAGCCTTGATGGACCCCACCTCTTCGCCACGTCGAATTTCATAGAGTTTGGAAGCCGGAAGTGGAAGATGAAGGGGCATTTTGGGTTTAATTGAAATTTTGGATCCCTAAAGTTCTAATTATTTACTCAAAAACCTAGAAGCACAAAAAAGCATCCCGATAGCTGCTTTCAACTTATGACTAAAAATTGTTTAAATTAAGTTGAAGTGTGTATTTGCAAACACTCATTTTAGCTTATTTTTATAAAAATGCTTAAAAGTACTTTTTGGTAGTGTTTGCAAACACTCCCTTAGACTAGCAAATAGGTCTGACAATATGTATGATGATTATGGTTGTTTTCATTTTTATGATGTTCCCATCTTCACCAGAACAGTAAATTTATTGTGTTAAAAGATGTAATGATACATATATCTATATCAATTTAATCATCATAATGAAATCACTATAAGAAACCTAGCTACACAACCTACTTATGAGTATTCAATTCAACATGGTTATTCCAATGTGCCAATTTGAACACAATTTTGAAATGTGGTACACACACATTTACATTATCTGTCTTAATGTTTATAAAAAAATTTGAAATGTGCCTATTATTTCATGATATTATATTGGGACCAGCTTCTAAATTCAGATCATAAACATTCAGATTAGGTGAAGAGAACAGCTTCTAAGGCAGGTCTCAATTGAATATCCATCTGGATCTGGGTTGGGTAATTTAACAATGGTGATGGTAACCTATAATCAATGCGAAAAAACATATGATGGTTCCGGGTGGGTCTTGGTCCAAACCTGACGAATTGAGAGGCCTATCTATTGACCATGTCAACTTGCCTTGTCTGATCTTTTCATTCATGTCTATTTATTTGAGCAATGCAGTAGTGGTTCAATCTAACCAAGTTTTTCTTGGCAGACTTAACATTACTTGTATCAAATCTGTATGAAATTCTGGACGATTATAACCTTCACAGTCCCATGAAGTATTATGTAAGATTTGTTGTTTTTTAATGTTTGATGATTATGAAAAGTAACACATGAGTTACTCCACTTTTGTAGCCCGAAGAATGTTATGAGTTTGTGAGCCTGAAGAAGGTGAAACGTTATCTCTTTCGTGGTTTTCAGTACAAACTTGTATTTCTTGCCAAAAACACGACTCTTGATGACAATCCTCTGGCAACCTTTCAAGCCTTGGGTTTTCACCTCGTGCGAGCTGTTGAAGTACATGAATGCGAGACCATTGGATAGGGTTATGGTATGGTAACCTGCACCAGTCCTATTTATGTAATCCGATGAGTAATTTATGTTGGTAACTATTTATGTTGTAATATGTGTCCACGGAGTATTTCCATCATTTTCAATAGAGCCAAAGACTAACTACTTTTTGGCTTGGGAATATGATGGAATAAAGCAAAATGGCTCAATAAATTGTGTGCGCTTCTTTGATATGAAGTATCATCAGTCCATGCAATTTTTGACGCGATTTTCACTATGGGTCATCCGGAAACAGTCTCTCTATGCTTTAGTATACGGGTAAGACTGCGTACATCTGACCCCACTTACCTGATAAGAACAGAAAAAAATAAAATCAATGGGGTGAACCGTTGCCCGATAATCAACGATAAATGAATACCGTTGCCCAAAGCCAAAAGGCTAAACCAACTTTTATTCCCCGATTATCAAGAATGAAGCATTCAAGGGGTATAAATAACCCTCTGGGTCTAATAAGAATAGGAATCCTAATTAAATTAATCTAGGAAACTAAATAGAATAGGAAACCTCTAGTTCTAATAGAACTCCTAATTAAATCATTCTAGGAAACTAAATAGAAATAGGAAACCTCTAATTCTAATAAGAATAGAAGTCCTAAATAAATCCTACTAGGAAACAAATTAAATTAGGAAACAAAATAAAATGAATAATAAATATTAATTAAACAGCCCGCAACCAGCCCACGAAGGTGGGCTCAAGCCCGTCCCGCCTTCGGTAAACCCACGGGGGCTTCTGCCCCTCTTCTTCCAAGCCCAGATTCTGCTTCATATCAATTCCATCCCCCTTCGAAAAAACCTTGTCCTCAAGGTTGAAATCCGGAAATCTGCTGACATTTGTTCCCGGTGGCTGCCCAGTATCTTTAGGAAAAATTGAGATGTACTCCTCCACAGTCCCTGTCTGCTTGCCTCCGGACAGCCGTTCAAAGCAATTGCCCTGAAACTGTGAGTCAAAACGAGCCACCAATGCCTGTGTAAGCTCATCCCATGACATGCCCGGCTTTCGTGTCCGCATCGAGGTCAACCGGTATAGGGCTGACCCTTCCATCACAACTACAGTGGCTGCCGCCTTCTTTCCCGGCAGAGCACAATTCAATTTGAACCGTTTCTCAGCCTTATCAACCCGGCTGATCGGTTCTACTTCGTTAAACGAGGGCAACGTTGTAAGAAAGGAGCTGCGTAGTCCAATTCCGAACGAGGATGCTGCTGCCACGTCGAGTGAAGTCACCACCATTGAATGCTCAGCCGCTGGCGGTGCGAGAGTCTCTTTTAATGCAACCAATGAAGAAGTGACGTTGTGCAGCTGTCCGTCGCCGCTGTGCGTAGATACATTGGGGCTGCCAACCGTGTCCGAGCTTGTTTCCGTCGTGACTGATGGAACGAGCGCCTTGGTAAGCGCTGCCAGGGATGCGGCGATCTCTGCCAGACGCATGTTGTGCTCCTTTAGGGTTTGAGTTTGCTTGGCCAGCATCTCTGACTAACGTTCACCGATAGATCTCGTCATTCTGGCGGGACGGGATCCGGCAGGTCGGACCAATTGATAAGAACAGAAAAAAATAAAATCAACGGGGTGAACCGTTGCCCGATAATCAACGATAAATAAATACCGTTGCCCAAAGCCAAAAGGCTAAACCAACTTTTATTCCCCGATTATCAAGAATGAAGCATACAAGGGGTATAAATAACCCTCTAGGTCTAATAAGAATAGGAATCCTAATTATATTAATCTAGGAAACTAAATAGAATAGGAAACCTCTAGTTGTAATAGAACTCCTAATTAAATCATTCTAGGAAACTAAATAGAAATAGGAAACCTCTAATTCTAATAAGAATAGAAGTCTTAAATAAATCCTACTAGGAAACAAATTAAATTAGGAAACAAAATAAAAGGAATAATAAATATTAATTAAACAGCCCGCAACCAGCCCACGAAGGTGGGCTCAAGCCCGTCCCGCCTTCGGTAAACCCACGGGGGCTTCTGCCCCTCTTTTTCCAAGCCCAGATTCTGCTTCATATCATTACCCCACCGTAGGTGGGAGCCTTTGCGGCACTGGGGTAATGATAATAATAATGATATGTGTCCACGGAGTAGTGCTCAACACTGCAATGGTGAAATCCACAAACACCTTTTATGATCTGCTTTGATCTTCTCTCAGGACTTGCTGTGGATAACTTTGTTGTAACTCTGATGCCTGTTGAAATTTCAGGTGGCTATCTTATGTTTGCCCGCCCTTATTGAATGCCAATCTGAGGTATGATGCTTCTTCAGTACTTTATGGGTGGAATTCTGTTTCATTTGGCAGTTGGATATGTTCATTTCATGGGGTTGATTGTTTTGATTTCTTGTGGTTACGTTGTTTAGTAGCAACTCCGACTGGATGTAGGATACGATGATATATGTCCGCCAATCCACCATCCAGATTCCAGGCACCCATCACGTATTAACGTCTATATGTAGCTTATTTTAGGGCCATGTAGTGTTAGCAGAGGAAACACTCAACGTTAATGTATATTCTGATTGGAGTAATCCGAACTGAAATTCCCGCTCTAAGTTTCTGGGTATTTACGAATGTATGAAGACGTGAAGAGACATTATATCGAAGCTGTTCATATCAATTCCAATCTATTTTTGTTATAATATCTATGTTTGCATGTAGCAACTAGCAACTTATAATTTATAAAGGCCAACACAAGATGATTTCTAGCACTTCAGACTTCATTGCTCGAAATCTAAGCTCTTTCACGATGATAGTCTCTTTGTCAAATTTTTTACAAAACGGATTCTCACTTAACAGTGTTAATTTTTTGTTATGTTTGTCCATTATTTGTGAAACGGTTGGACTGTTGAGATTATTAACATGTAGTTTTTTAAACTTGAGATTATTGATGTCTAATTTTTAAGCTATTTTGAGTATACAAAGAGTTAACATGCCTTACCCACTCGTTGATAAATTAATATTTTCGAAATTTTAAGGGATATAAAATTGTAGTATTTGACTTAGCTAAAAGTAATTAATATTGTATACTTCGTATCAATATTCAATATAATTTTACTAAAGTTACCTTAAAATGTCCATGATAACTAAAAATAAGATTTAATATGCTAATCATAAATGTGCATCCCCATGCATGACAAATGTCTGTGTGTGTTGATTCTAAACCTTTTGATGTTTTGTGAAGGTGTCACAAGGATTGTATGCACCAATAACATTTAGAGCCCGTTTGGTAGCACGAAAATCGGCTGTTTTGGCTTTTTCTGCTGAAATTTATGAAGTTCTGGCTGAAGTGGCTGTTTTGGCTGATTCTGCTGATTCTAGAAAAAAAATATTTTAAAAATATATTTTATTAATAAAATAAAGAAAAAATTACATGTAAAAATAGCTAAAATGGTCATCTACAGTAACTTCAGCCAATACAGCCAGAAAAGTAACTCCAACCTTACTTTTTCTGCTTATTACACAATTCAGCACGCGAAAGTAAAAATTACGTGTTTGGTGAAAAAGATGGCTGATAAGCCTGATAAGCCGAAAAAAGAAGTCTCCAAACGGGCTCTTAAAGATAAAAAATATAAGACCCTATTTATGTGAAACAGGCAGACACACGTGCCATTACATCATTATTACATGTGCCATTACATCATTATTACACGTACCACTATTCCACTAACAATGAGATATGAGGAGGTGACATGGTTATTAAAAAAATGACTTTATGAAGTTGATTATGAGTTAATAAAGTAAGAATGATTTAGAAACACACAAATTTTACCAAAATTACTATGATACAATATTAGTGGGACGAACTGAAAAGAAAAAATGAGACAATATTAGTGAGACAAAGGGAGTAATATTTAGGGAAAAACCTTAAACTATTGGCCTATTTTAGATTTTGGATCAAAGAAGATATCCGAAAGAGAAATTTAAATTACACAAAATCTTGAATTATTAAATGAAATATAGGATTGTTTTAATTGGATTAGTTTAGGTCTCATATCAAACCAACTTAAAAGATTGTATCATTTCAGATTAATCAACACTCTTATATGTGTGTTACCAAATAGATAAGTAATTAAGCAATACCATACAATTTTAACTGTTTCGAAATAATTAGAACACTTTGTGTTTTAGTAATAATAACAAATAACTAAAATGACAATCATACACTTAAACTCATTTAACTTGAACTCATCATTGCACCTGTACGTTACATGAGAAGAAATTTCTTAACTTAAAATTACAATTTGGTCTAACTTTATAGGTATATCATAAAATTAAGAAAGATAACCCATAAAAGTTAGGTGATCGACAACAGTTGCATCCGGATATGTTTGTATTCCAGATATTGTTGCATACAACTGTCCATGTGTAATTACTGCATGACGTAAGAAGATCTTTCAATCAAACAACTGACCTTGACTTTTTTATGGGCGTCACATAAATAACCATCAATTGTAATTCTCAGACATGAATGACAATCTAACATCAGATGGTGTAAGTAAGTGTTAGTCATGTAATATAGACCTTAATATCTCGCTCAAATATTAGAAAATTGAGCGAAAAATTCTCCCACCTATCTTTTTATACCTAAAAACCTAAATATGAGTTAGAAAATTCTCCCACTTAATTATTAGTTTGTTTATCTTCTTATACCTAAAAGCACTACATATGAGAGACAAAATTCTTCTGCAGTTAAGAATTTATGCGGATAATAAAAATTGGTGGCATATGAATGATAATAGAAATTTGTGGATTATGATATGTTTTTTTTGTAACAATTGGAGTACAAATAAAAAATTATATCACTTTAACAAATGGATGTTTTTAAAGTGTTATTTTTTTATTTATATATGAGATAGAATAAAGAGGTATGTTTTTATATATTTTTTGTAATAATCGAAGTAAAGATAAAAAAGATACAACGCTTTAAAAAACCTATGTTTTTTCAAAGTGCAGAATTATTTGTGTGAATTGTGATAAATTTTTTGTTATAATCGGAGTACAAATAAAAAAATCAATTTATTTTTACTTAAATACACTACATATGAGAGAGAAAGTGTCTCCGCTCAATTATTAGTCCAATTATCTTACATAGTATATACCTAAAAAGTAAAAACACTACATATGAGAGATAAAATTATCGCGCTCAATTATTAGTCGCTTATCTTATAGGAGTACTTAAAAGCACTACATATGAGAGAGGAAATTCTTCTGCTCAACTCAGAGTGAACTTGGATAAATTAAATGTTTAGTATTAGTTATTATAGAATTTTTATTAACTAATAAGAAACATACACATTACTCCTTTATAATCCAATTTTATTTTCTAAAATAATAATTATTTGATTTATGCATGCAATAATAATAACATATGAAAAATCATAAACAATATTGAATTTTGATATAGTTTTTGTACAAATTGGAGTACAAATAAAAAAAAGTTATTGCACCTTAAAAGAGATTTTTCTCTTTCATTTTCTTTTTCACCGAGTGAACTTGGATTGATTAAATGTTTTAGTAGTCATGATAATAAAACTTCTATTAACAAATAAGAGACTTACACATCATTTTAACTCAATTTTACTACATCAAATATATTTTTTATTTCCAACCTTGGTTTCATATTAAAGATCATAAAAAGTTATAAGTTTGATGTACTTTTTGTAAAGTGTTAGATCAATATTTCTCTAAAGTGCATATTCTTAATCTAAAATATTAAGATCATATGTTTATCTTGCACACCCAACTTTCATGTATCTTCTTTTGTTAATAGGACCATAGTCTCTCTTGTACTTCACAGAATGTGATGTTTATTTACCAGTTTGAGATGTATTCATCACAACCAGGAAAGACCGAAAGACGACACACTAGTAGTTTGAATATAATTTAATCTTAGTTACTCCGTATTATTTTAGACAAAATATAGTACTGTATAAGTATATGCATAAATACACATCAAATTCTCTCAGTTCAACCATTTTTATTTTTCAACCTTAATTTTTCAGTACTTTACATACTTTCTTGCGTTTACTTTTTTATTCTATAAATATTTTAATCGTATTCAACCTTAATTTTCCGGTTATCATGGACATTTTAAAGTAACTTCACAATTTTTTTATTTGAGTATTAATACAAAGTAACCGCTATTACTTTTTTATTTTTAACAAAGTATAACAATTTTACATCTCCTCTAATTTGGAATTAATGCAGTATTATTTTATTGTTGAATGTAATTAGTGATATGCAAGGCATTTTAACCCTTTCCACCTCCAGCCGGGTTTGCTACTAAACAACGTAATAACCACAACAAATAAAAAAGATCAACCTAGGGATGGATTGGGTCGGCCCAACTTGCGCCCAGACCGACACTGTTCAGGCCCGACCCGGTGGCTATAAGGGTGGGCTTCGGCTTGTTTTTTGGGCTGGACCCAATTGCACTATTTTTTTAATTTATTGCCCAGTCCCGTATTGAAACACGGCCCGACCCGTACTGTTGAAGTCCAGCCCGACACGGTCTCGGTATAAACCCAGGCTGGTACTGGGCCTGAATTTCTTAAGCCCAAGCCCGACCCGGTCCCAGTCCACCCCTAGATGAACCCCATGAAATGAACACAACAGACATAATTCCACTGATTAAAAACTGTAGAAACATCCTAAGATAGCCACCTGAACTTTTAACAGGCATCAGAGTTCCAACAATGACAGAATGCCACACCAAGTCCTGAGATTACAGTGTTGAACACTACTTAGTAAACATAGACTACTAGATAAGTATTCTGCCAGTGCGGGTTACCATACTATAACCCTATTCAAGGATCTTGCAGTCAAGTGTTTCAACAGCTCGCACGAGGTGATCACCCAAGGCTTGAAAGGTTGCCAGAGGATTGTCATAAAGAGTCATGTTTTTGGCAAGAAATACAAGTTTGTACTCAAAACCATGATTGAGACAACGTTTCACCTTCTTCAGGCTCACAAACTCATAGCATTCTTCGGGCTAGAAAAGTGGAAACATTAAAAATCAACAAATCATGCTTAATAGAATCTCATTAGAAAGGACATGTATGTCAAATTTGAAGGGAGCATGAAGTTTATAAACGTCCAAGAATTTCATACAGAATTGTTACAAGTAACGTTAAGTCTGTCAAGAAAACATGTTTAGATTGAACCACTACAACATTACTCAAATAAATACTACCTCAGTCCCGAAAAGGTTCACCATATTACAAACTTTGGACAATGATTTTATAATTTATAAATTTTATACTTTTGTTGAAATGGTTTGAATAAGGAACATTTTGATATAATTTTCATATTCTAAATAGTTTCGTATGTGGTATTAAAATATATCTTTAGTCAAAGTTGATTGTCATTGATCAACAAAAATCAATTTGACAATTTTTTTCCGGAAAGGGATTAGATATGAAAAAACATCGTTCAGCCTGCCAAGAAAACATGGTTAGATTGAACCGGTACAGCATATGAGCTAATAGCCTAATATGTGAGTGATCGAGGCATATGAGCTACTAGCAACAAAATAAGACGGCAATTGTGAAAGGAGACTATGTGACCACCAACGGCGATCCAGCGTCGCCGATTTTTTGCTAGTCTAACCGACAGTCCACAGGCACAGAAAAAGAATGGTTGTAGGCTTTAAATTAGGAAACTAATTTAATTAAGACTTTGGGCTTTTAATTAAAAACAAAGCCCAAAGCAATCATAGAGACATAGAGAGTCTAGAGACGGGCTAGGAAGCAGGCAAAGTCACAACAACTCCAGGAAGCAAAAGAACTCGCATCGTCGCCTCTTATCCCTCATCTCGCCTAGTCGATCATCTCTTCTCTTGTCGACTGAGTTTTTATATTACGCAATATAATAATAATTAATTAAGTTGTATATTTATATTTGTAGGTATCATTGTATCACTACATTTGTGTGTGTATTACACAGTACACGCCAATGTTCGAAATTGCATATTGCGCTAACAAAACATATAATTCTAGCCTAGACTATATGTTTTGTTTTTACTTCAGAATTAAGGATACTGTCTATTAGACCGTACTTCACACTTTTTTAGCGAATTTTAGTCTTTTCTTTATTATATAGATCTTGAAATAATTATGCAATTTAGTTTGGATAAAAATATTTTACAGTTTTTTAATCAAGCCCATTTTAAATTTCGCCCCTAGACCTTCAAATGGACAGGACCGCCCCTGTGAATCTGAATCACGATGTCAAATAAAAAGGAAAGAGCCTTCTAGACCTCGGTTATGAACCAAATGGAAATGCACCCACATCTAGAAAAAATGGTCAGAAAGACACCCACTAGGTCTATTTGATTATGCAAGTACGGGTCTGAGCATGTCAGATGGTAGGCACATTTGAACAAAAATTGAGATACATACATGGTTAGATTGGTAATCTTGAAGAGCCAATCTGCACATTTCAACTGCATTTTCATATTCTCTTCCTCTTTTCTGAAGCTCTTCAAGCGGAATTTCTGGCATACTAACGCTAAAGTTATCCTAAAATGGCAAAGAAAAATGAAATATACAACAGTGAGATTAAAAAAATAATAATTCTTCAACTGATACACTCACATATATGAGGGTTATTAATATCACAGAAACTGGGAAGTGTTTTACTATAGTTAGAAATATTAGAAAGGCAATAAGGATGGATAGGCAGATATACCACTTCCTCAAACTGCTCAACTCCATCCTTGAGTAGCACACATTTATCTATTTGGCGAACTTCAGGCCCCCTCCAATGATGACAAGAAACACTGGCCCTGAAGTTTTGTAGAGGTTTATCATCCATGTTCAGATTTTCAGCACAAAATACCAGCTCATAAGTCGCAGTTGACCAAACAATCCACCAATATCCCCTTTTCATGCTCTTGAACTCATAACATTCTCCTGGCTAAAATGGCAGACCAATGATAAAAACAAAAACATTGAGGCATATTTTAGAAAATAGACAGTTTAGGAAAGTGCATTGACATACACACCCACATACATGCTTATCCATATAGTAAGCAAGAGCTGAGTTGCAGATTTCAACATAGAGTCCATCTTGGTAATCTTTGGGTTTTATTTCTGTAATGTCGCCCTAAAACACACACAAAAGTTGGGATATTACAATGCTAGTGGTTAGTTCAGTACAGTTTAAAGTATGAAAATTGTTAATTTAGGAACTAAAAGTCATAGATATAAGTTGTGTAACGATATCAAAGGAAAAAGGAAACAGAACAAACGAGTCCAATATTAACCAAATTGATTGCATAAAATTTCAAAATTATTCGATGTAATCTGAATTCAATTGATGAAACAATCGTGATGGAAACTCAAAAATTAGGTTATTTAATCGCAGGTAACATAAGCAGATGTTTACACCGTCGGATTCTTCATCTTCGGATTTGGCATTCGTCGTTCGATCGATGCACTCCCAAGTCTCGGAACTTTCCACCTCACATTGATAATCATCATGATCGAGTGTTGGTTTCTTCAACACGGACTCGATTGAAGATAGGCATTGGGGGTTGGTTGCCGCCATGGCCTCGGAGCAGAGACAACACAAATTGGACTTATGGGGGCAGGGTAAATTATATGGTAATGCCGGCATTTATAGGGTAAGTTTTGGTTTCTTCCGCACGCATGCACTGAATCGTTTTGATTTGATTGTTTTTGTTTCTTTTTTAATTCTTGTTTCTTTATTGTTTCCTCTTCTTTTTGTGGTTTGTTCTGGTTCGTTAATGTTTTTTTGCTGGAAGGCTTAATTCATAAAAACAGCATTCAATAAGGGTACCAAACTAGAAAAAAAACCACAAATAACCATCCGCCCGTGGCCAAGACTAAGAGCTAACCACCTGTAAAAAAGCAATATAACTCGCTAGACCAGAATTGGACAATTGAGAGCTAAAGACGGTTACCGCAAATTCTTCCTCCCCTCACCTAAGCGCAAGAGTCTTACAATGAGAAAAAATACCGAAACATGAAAATACAAAGCATCCGAAATTAAAGTAACCAAAAAAGATAAATAAAAAAACACCAAAATTGGTTTTCTTCTCCATCACCATCCAGAAAGTGCACGGCGGGTCTACGAGAGCTGACCCGCCCCTTCCCCATTTTTTGGCCCGTCAAGAGCCATTCCTGCCAGGGCCGTCTAATGAATTTAGAGGCCCCGGTTTCAAGTGCAAAATTGAGGCCCTAGTGCCCCACGCCCCCACATATAAATAAATAAAAATCACATACTTCGTATAATAACAAAGCCATAAAGTTCTTATTCATAAATCATAATTTATTAAATCATAAATCTCAAAATCTAAAATTCTGAAATCTTATTTATAAATCATAATCATAATTTATTAAATTCATAACTAATTAACTATTAACTACTAACTATTAACTAATACGATAGTACTTCGTATAATATATACCAAGTAATACGGAGTAAGTTAGTTAAAAATTCGGAGTAGCTATAATCAAATAAATCAATTAATCATTAATCAAGTTAATTCAATTAATTTTCATCTCCGCGGTCGTCTCCTAGGGTAATTCCCTAGCGTCTTTTCTTCCCGGCGACGAACAAGGCGTCCGTCGACTGGTGTTTTCTCTCCCTTCCATCATGAGTATTATTAGCGGGATCTGTAGAGGCATGTCCAATTCGGCCACGAAGCAAACAATAGCCGATCTAATTCAGGAGAATCGACCTAACGCCATTTTCTTAATGGAGACGAAGACCCAATGGCAACAGGCGAAGGAGTTTCTGAGGTCGTTTGGCTTCTGCAACGCATTGGGAGTGGACAGCGAAGGTAATAGCGGGGGGCTTGTGCTCGGTTGGAATGATGACATTGAAATTTCATCTCGAGCAATTAATCAAAATTACCTGGACTGCGGCGTTCGTCTGGCTCGTGATTCCCCGGAATGGCGGATGACGTGCTACTATGCCTACCCGGCTACGGTGCAAAGGCGAGCGGCCTGGACGATGCTGAAAGGTTTGGCAGCAAATAATACGCTCCCCTGGATGGTTATTGGAGATTTCAATGACATATTGTATGCTTCGGAAAAGAAAGGTACGGTTGAACATCCGTTATGGAGGTTACGAGGTTTTCGTGAAGCAGTAGCGAGTAGTGGTTTACGTGACATTCCGTTCCAAGGATACCAATGGACTTGGGACCGGGGCAAGAATACTCGGTACTGGGTGGAGGAAAAATTGGACCGTATCATGGTCAATGATGATTGGTGGAATATGTTTATGGAGGCTCAGGCGTCTTCGATAGAGGCTCCGGTTAGTGACCATATGGCTTTATACATTCGGGTTAAGCCAACAGTGCATACAAGAACTATGAAGAAATTCAAATTTGAGAATTTGTGGCTCCAGGAGGATGATTGTAGAGCGGTTGTTCTTAATAGCTGGAATGCCGGGCAGAACCTATCTGTTAGTGAGCGTATTTTATTCTGTGGGAAAGAGCTTATGCGGTGGGATAAGTGTAGACCAAAAGGGTTTAGCTATCATATTATTGCTTGTAAGAAGAAGCTAGCTGCCATGCGAGGACGGACGGACATTTGGGGTACAGGAGAGTTTGTTCGGCTAAAGCTTGTTATTCAATCGTTGTTGGAGAAGGAGCACCTTTATTGGAAGCAAAGAGCCAAGGAATTTTGGCTAAAAGAAGGAGATATCAACTCTCGTTTTTTCCATAATGCCGTTAAACAAAGAAGACGTCGGAATAAATTGCAAGGGCTGCGGACTGAGATGGGGGAGTGGATTACTGATAGAAACCAGATGGCCGAATTAGTCATAAATTATTTTGACAAAATTTTCAAGGAACAAAACGAGGGGAGACAACTTGAGGAGACAGTGACTTTTACTCGAGTTACTGTGGACCAGAATGACAAGCTCCTAAGGCCAATCAGCTCGGAAGAAGTGAAGGCGGCAATTTTTGATATGCATCCTGATAAAGCCCCGGGTTCAGACGGCATGAATCCTGCTTTCTTCCAAAAATTCTGGGATGTTGTCGGCAGTGACATCACACGGTTGTGTAAAGGTATTTTTGATTCGGTTTCCTTACCGGCTGAGTTAAATGTCACAAATATTGTTTTAATTCCTAAAGTGGAAAAACCGGAGGGTATGGGGGATTGGAGGCCTATAGCGTTATGCAATGTAGTGTATAAAATTTTTTCAAAAGTTATTGCCAATCGATTGAAGGAGATACTGAGCGGCCTGATTGGGGAAAACCAAAGTGCATTTATTCCAGGTCGCTCAATTGTTGATAATATTATTGTGGCTTTTGAAACGCAACATTTTTTAAAGAGAAAGAGTACTGGAAAAGAGGGATTTGTGGCCCTTAAGCTGGATATGAGTAAGACTTATGATAGAGTCAGTTGGACTTTTCTGAAAGACTTGATGCTCCGGATGGGGTTTCAGGCACGATGGATAGAGATTATTATGCTATGTGTGACAACGGTGAGCTATTATGTTCAATTTGACAAGGAGTTTTTGGGACCGATTTACCCGGGAAGAGGGTTACGACAGGGGGATCCTCTTTCCCCTTATTTATTTATACTGGTGGCAGAGGGTCTGAGTGCGCTGATGAGACGTGCCGAACAGAAAGGAGATTTGAAGGGCATTTCGGTGTGCAGGGGCGCACCTAAAGTGTCCCATCTTTTATTTGCAGATGATTGCTTTATATTTTTCAAAGCTGATGGTAAAAACTGTTTGGCAGTTAAGAATATTTTGCAGGTGTATGAGGAGTGTTCGGGACAGATGGTTAATTTTAACAAATCTTCCTTGAATTTTAGCCCGAACGTGGGCGAGCCGTTTAAAGATCAATGTTGTGATTTGTTTGAAATTCCGAGAGATAGTGGGCAGAAATTGTATCTTGGCTTGCCAGCTTTGGTTGGAAAAAATAAGAAAGTTATTTTGGGATATTTGAGGGATCGAATTTTTAGCAGAATAAGAAGTTGGAATAATAGGTTCCTGTCCAGAGCAGGTAGGGCGGTTCTCCTAAAAAATGTCATCCAGGCAATGCCAACCTATGCCATGAATGTTTTCCTGCTCCCGAAAGATCTCTGTGTTGATATCAAAAAATTAATGAATGGTTTTTGGTGGAAAGGGGCAAAGTTCGAGCAAAAGGGACTGAGATGGAGGAGTTGGGATGCTTTGTGTAAGCCGAAGGAAGCAGGCGGTCTGGGTTTCCGGAAGATAAGAGAATTTAATTTATCCATGTTGGCTAAACAAGGATGGAGATTAGTTACGGAGCAGCACAGTCTTATGAGTCGTGTTTTAAAGGCTAAATATTTTCCTCAGTCATCTTTCTTGGAGGCAAAAGTAGGTAATAATCCTTCCTTTATTTGGAGAAGCATCTTTGAGACACAGAATATTTTGAAGGAAAATATCCGGAGGAGAGTGGGGAATGGCATAAATGTTCAAGTTTGGGCTGATGCATGGTTACCGGGTCCAGGCACTGGGAAAATTACTTCGAATAAACCTCAGTGGGTGAGTGATATGAATGTGGCGGCTTTGCGGGATTCTACTGGCACAAACTGGAATCGGGAACGAATAGAGGCCTTATTTAATGAGACAGATAAACAGCGAATCCTAAGTGTGCCAATAAGCATACAAAACCGAGAAGACAGTTATTGGTGGACAGGAGAAAAGAATGGCTCTTTTTCTGTTAAGAGTTGTTATAGGAAGGTGGTAGGAGAACAGAATTCGGGATCTTGGGAGGGATGGAATAAAATTTGGGAATTACATATCCCTCCAAAGTTCCAATATTTTGTTTGGCAAGTTATGGATGGTACTCTCCCTATTGTTGCAAATCTAAGAAAGAGAGGGATTAATAGTCCAGGGGGTTGCAAGGTGTGTGGTTTGGAGGAGGAGGAGAATTTGATGCATGCTGTTCGGTCATGCCCAAAAGTGGAAGAGGTTTGGAGAGCTGCACACTACAGCTTGGGCTTGGGCGGGCAGCAGCAGTCGATCGAGGAATGGCTGCAGCAGCAATTGATGCAGCAAGATCGAGACAGACGGGGCAGATTTGTGGCTCTCTTGTGGTGTATTTGGAAGAGGCGGAACATAGCGGTGTGGGAGGATAAAACGCAGGAGGCTTCATGGGTTGTTAATATGGCGGATGGTATGATTGTTAGGTGGAAAGAGGCTCAAAAAGCCACTGCAGGGACTGCTGCAATTTTGCAGCGAGGAGGGCAGCAGAATGGGGCGCAAGCGGGCGGTCCGAGGGATAAATGGGAAGCTCTGGAGGAAGGGATAGTAAAAATCAACGTCGACGGAGCAACTAATCAGGCAACAGGTTTGCGTGCATGGGGATGGATTGCTAGAGACCATCAAGGTGAGTTCATCAAAGCAAGAGGGGTTTCCCATAGAGCCGAATGGACAGTGGAGGAAACGGAAGCTATGGGGATCAGGGACGCATTAAATGGAGCTGTGGCTGAAGGATGGAATAGAGTGATAGTTGAAAGTGATGCATTATCCGTGGTTCGAGGAATAGCACGACGAGGGAGTGGCTCCTATCTTGAGCTTGTTCTTGATGATATTTTTTCTATCGTTGAGTCAAAGAGTAATTTTGAAGTCTCTTTTTGTAAAAGATCTGCGAACCATGTTGCTCATACTTTAGCTAAGGCACATGTTAGTTCACCAGATCATGTTATGGAATATGTGGAGGTTCCAGATTGCATTTGTAGCCGTTTGGCGCACGATACTTTGCTTTAATTTTATTGAGTTTTTGATGATAAAAAAAAAGTTAATTCAATTAAATAACTTCACTGGCACCCACTAACATAGTAAAAGGACGCCGGCTCATAAAACAAATAATGGGAGAATAGAAATATAGAATCAATCCTCAAATAATAGGAGAGTAATAAAGAAGCAATATATACATAACTAATACGAAGTAGAAACATAGAATATTTCCTAAGATGTAAATTCGTACTAACCTCAAATTGCGTCTGACTTGGTTGCCGCTGCGGTGAAGTGAAATTGCGGAAAAGAGTGAAAGGAAGGCCAAGTGGTGGTCCGGCGAAGTTGGCGGGCGAAGCGGTTGAGGAATGACTGGAAATCTGGAACGAGGCGGCAGTGCGGCACCGGCAGAAATCAGAATGGCAAGAAGTGGAGAAGTCTGGCCGTGTTGCGTATTTGCGTTAACCCAGCTTTTGTGGTCAAAGAGGCGGAAGAGTAGCGTCCTTTCAGTCTTTATTGTTGTTGTTACTCCGTATTATTTACGGAGTATTTATTAATATTATATAATATAACTATATAATAATACTATTACTAAAAAATTGGGGGCCAATAAAAATGTGGGGCCCTGTTCCAGCAAGCCTAATAAACCTGCTAAAAAACGGGCCTGATTCCTGCACCAACCGCTCCATCTTCATTCTGATCTTCCCACATACACCTTCGCTTTAGGTCCCCCGGTGGATCTTCCTTGTCCTCGCTCTCAGTCAATGGAGACTTGGTAGTCTTGGACTCCGCCGTGTGTTCTCCCCCGTGCTCAGATTTCCCCTGACCTCCATATCCCTCTGAGCTAGACCCTCCGTTAGACAGCCATTTATTAAGCCCTGTAGGGCTGGTCTTCACCCTTCCACCTGCTCTAATTCCCACCCCATATGTTTTTTCAGCGACAAAACCCTCTTCATACTTCAAAGGAAAAAATTTGTCAGAGTGATCAATAATACCACAGATAAAACAAAAACTGGGCATTTTTTCATATTTAAAGTCAACCCAATGCTTTACTCCATCATGCGTTAAATTTGTGCCCCTTTTCAGAGGTTGACGAACATCCATACTCACTCTTATTCTCAGATAGGAACTCTGCTTTCCATCAAAATGACTCATCTCAAATTTAATAAAAGAGCCTATAAATTACCAATTTTCCTAGCAGATCTCCGTTTCCTATATTTTATAGGGGCATTATGAACTTATACCCAAAAGCTGGCCTCAAACAGATTCATGGATTGAGGTATATCATCAGGTTGAACAGCTTTAAGCAAAATCAAATCTTGTTCATAAAGCCAAGGGCCTTCCTCAATGACTTGATTCATGTCCAAAACATGATTAAAGCTTAACAGATACCTGCGTTCGCCGATTTCCTTGATACTCATACCTTTCACTGGTCTCTAGATTGAGGTCATCAGCTCCTGAAATCCTGAAAGCTTGATCTTCCGATCAGTGATGACTACCCCCACTGCCGGAAAGCGCCTCTGCTCCTGTTCATCGCCAGCTTCCTCTTCTACTTCCTCATCGGAAATCAATTCGCTCTCTTGATCCTTCATCGCTAACTTCCTGTATGAATCAACCAAATCCTCCATATGCTAACCTACCCCCTCGTCGTCTTGCTCTTGAATCGCACGCAGCCAACGATCTTCCCCCCAATCCCAGCCGAGAGAGATGCTCTCAACTAAACTGATGCCTGTACCTAAACTCGATCACCAGCCGAAATCGAGATCGGAAAACAACAAACCCTAGCGGCGGATTACCCTAGGAAGCCCGAAGGTTTGGAGAGTGTAGCTCTCGCTCCGGTTTCAGAAACTGAAGACTTTCTCGTTAATGTTTTTCTTTAACAACCTTTCATTTTAATTTTATATTCAATAATTTTGAAACTTTAAAACATTAAAAATTATACAAAACTTTATTAAAAGTGCCAGTTTATTTTGTTTCTTTATCCAATCAAACTTTAGGTATTCTAAATATTTTAGGTATTAACTTAAGTATTTTTAATTTTTGTATTCTAAATATTTTAGGTATTAATTTTTTTATTATGATGGGGTTTAATCCAACTACGAGAGCTAAATCTACAAGAGATATCGAAAATATGGCAGCGTAAGGCGGTATTATTATTATTATTATTATTATTATTATTATTATTATTATTATTATTATTATTATTATTATTACGGAGGAACAACTGACCGATCCCGTCATAGGGAATTTACAAGAAGTATTTATAGACTTTCGGAGCTAGTATTTCAGAAGGAAACTAATACAATAAATGCTACTCCATCCGTCCCCCTAACTTTGTCTCATTTTACCTTTTTCGTCCGTCCCATTAAGTTTGTCTCATACCATATCTAGTAATATTTGGTTGGTTACAGTTATTCTTACTTTATTATTCACACTTTATCAATTCAATACCAACTACACAATTCCACTTTTTCTTAAAAGTTGTGCCACACACCTTTGTCCCAAACATAGTGTGATGGAGGTAGTATTTAATGATATTCTATTCGAATGAGTCTCCTGTAACGCATGGGACGTTCCATGATGATTAACTCCTTTAAGTCCATGTTCTTTGTAGAATCCTGCGTGCTGCCAAATAGTTATGCTCGAATAATAGCCTGCCACGTAAACCTTAGGAATATCCCAGCCTCACTAGAACTCCGCCCAGGCTCAAGGTCTGCTGTTCAGCCCGGCCTGGATGTGGGTTCCTTTCGTGGGCTTGATTCCCATTTAGGCCCAGCGGCTTATCTAATATTAATCCCGATCAGGGCTTGATCCCGTTTATGGGCTAATCCTGTTAATTAGGCCAATCTCGTAGAGGGTTGATCCCGTTTATGGGCTGGATTACGTAATTGGGCCATGGTCCGAGTCCATGGTACCATCATATTAGTTTATTAAATATTGTGTTTTAATTATTAACACGAGTTTTGTGTTATACTCCGTACTAAAATGTGTATAGTGTAAAATAATATGCATGTGTAAACATTATAAAAGAACCTTACTCTTAGAGCATCTCCAATGGTAAATTGTGCACGTGCACACGTGGCATGAGATATAACCACATAAATATTAGTAAATAAATTCTTTCTCTTCTTATTTGAATGATTTTATATACTTTTGGTAAGTTTTTCTCCACAATGTCAAGGAAACCGTCTAGATGTTGACATTGTTGTTGACATTGCAGGGAAAAACTTACCAAAATGGTGTAAAATTATTCAAATAAGGAGAGAGATTATTTATTTGTTAATATTTATGTGGCTATGACGCTGCCGCATGTGCACCGTGCACATTATAGCATTGAATATGCTCTTATTATACTAGATTTACACCCGTGCGATGCACGGACAGAAATTCTTTAAATTATGTATAGGTCCAATATAATAAAAGTAATATATCGTGCAAAAAAATAAAATTATATAAAGATCGATATGCAAATATGATTATTTTTGGACAAATCATACGAAGTATTAACTACTCTGTATTAAGCAATGACTAGATATGTATACAATGTTAATTTCGACTAAGAGGTCGTTTGATAACATTGTTTTCCGACTTATGAAGCTTATCAGCCAGCTTTTTCACCAAACACGTAACTTTTGTTATCTCGCGTTGAATTGTGTAATTATAAGAAAAAAGTAATGTTGTAGTTACTTTTCTGGCTGTATTGGCTGAAGTTACTGTAGATGACCATTTTAGCTATTTTTGCATATTATTTTTTCATTATTTTATTAAGAGAATATTACCCGAAATGGGACTAAAAAGAGTTGAAAATTCCAAAATAAGACTTCCATGTTTTTATTCCAAAAATAGGACCAATTACTGTCATGTATTGACAGTACCAGACTTCAAATGTGACAGTATTTTCCAATCTTGGCAGTAATTACTCCTATTTTGGAAATAAAAAACATGATAGTCCTATTTTGGAATTTGCAAACAGTTTTAGTCCAATTTCGGAAACTTTCCCTTTTATTAATAAAATATAGAGAATATTACCCGAAATAGGATTAAAAAGGTTTCAAAATTCCAAAATAGGACTGTCATGTTTTTATTCCCAAAATAGGACTAATTACTGCCATGTTTTGGCAGTACCAGACTTCAAACATGACAGTATTTTCCAAACTTGGCAGTAATTACTCCTATTTTGGGATAAAAAAACATGACAGCCCTATTTTGGAATTTTCAAATTGTTTTAGTCCTATTTCGGGAACTTTCCCTAAAATATACGATAGTACTTCGTATTTTAAAAATATGTTTTTCTTAAATTAGCAGAATCTACCGATGAACCCACTTCAGCCATAACTTCGTAAATTTCAGCAGAATCAGCCGAATCAGCCGATTTTCATGTTACCAAATGAGCTCTAAGAATATTAGTTCAAAGAGGAAGAAAACATACTTTTATTGTTTAAAAGTTTGATAATCATATGAAATAAAAAGCAATTTCTTGTGTTAAAGTTTTTAATTAAAATAAACTCATACGTAGCAAGACATTCATCAACTTAAGTATGCATATGGGGTGTAATACAACCCACACGTATTGTTTTCAATGAACTAGATTTTCGCTCTTGATAGCTTCGTTTATCGATCTGAAATGCGCACAAAAAAAACATATTCATCCTTGCCTCTAAAATTCAAAGAAATTTATAATAACCCATGGAGAGATAGCAAGATCTAGTCTGGAAACACAGATGAAAAAGTTATCATGCAAGAGAGACATGAAGCTTCTGGTCTTGTATCTTCATACAACGGTTTCTTTTTTGGATGAAAAACACATATAGCTTGAATACAGATTCCAAACAAAAGCTTCCACCGAAGTAGATCGAGTCCAGGGATGGATTTAGGGGGGGGGGCGCGGGGGGGGCGACCGCCCCCCCTTGGACATTCAATTTTTTTTTTACCATATATGTAATATTTTCATAAAACTTTCATAATTTAATTAGATTCGCCCCCCTTAGCTTTTAATTTT